GGCTCAGATTCTTTCCTTCTCCTGATGCTCATGCGCAAAAATAATACCAAGCTAAAAGCCACCTGAAAGGACACATTGCTCTTTCAAGACACCACTCATAGATCGATGAGTCTTCAAGCCTTAGGAGAAAACCCTCAGCACAGCAATCCCAAGGAGAGTCTCTCGAGTCTGTCACCTCTCACAAAGAAATAAAAAAAAAGCAGCAGAGCTCTCAGAAATAACCTCACATGGATAACACCTACATTTTTTTGTCTTTTCTCTCCTACATCAGGTTAAGTAGTACCTGACACATTTACAGCTATAAAACAGGTTTCTCCCCTCTTGACCATGATTTACGTGGTTTCCTTTGTTTTACCAGAACAAAGATTTTTTTTTATGCCAGCTGAAACTGAGATTTTAGATATTTCCAGCAATTCTGCCATTAAAAATGTATTCTAAGCAAATTACTGTAAAGCCCCTAAGACACTGATGCAAAAACTCAATGCATTCTTAAACAGAGTTAGCTAAGGGCTGACTTAAGCTTCAAAATGAACTTCAGAAGCGCCAATGGAAAAAAGCCAAACACAAAAAGCAGTGAAGGTCAGCAAAGCAAGGAAGACGAAGGGTCTTTCCTACAGAGGATCTTCCAGTAAAGCAGCTGAGCACTTGACAGAGGATGGTTGAACGAGAAAAGGGTGGAAGAAGAGAGGAAGAAATGGTAAAGATGGAATGAAATCGGCAGAAGTGGTAGTCGGCACTTAAACAGCTCAGCTTGCTGGTGAGGAGTGGAGCCTGAAAAAGAAGAGCTTGTAAAAGAATGAGAATATACCGCCAGGGTTGGCAGAGGGGTATCAAGTTTAATCACTTCGACATATGCACAGGATGGGGCAAAAGGCAGAACACAGTATAAGCCAAGGGGATGAAGAAAAATAGGACTGGGTACCATGTTAGACACAAACATGCTGGTTGTAAAGGATCTTCCTGTTAAGCAACTTCCAGAGTAACACAGATGTCTCGCCCTTATTCTTACCACCAATATATTTGCGGAAGGGTAAGAAATTAAGCATAACTAAATACTTCCAGTCAATCAGGAAGAGCAGTGGTATGACCCTGTTTACAGAGGTCCTTCCGTGCTCCCCAAAGGTACATTCGCTCTCTTCTTTCATTCAATATTAGGCTGACTGAGTGACAAGCTTCAGCACCGAAATGCCAATTTAAGTGCTTTCAGATGCCTGCAGATTCAGGCCAGAAGGTTTGTGACATACAGAACGTATCGGTGGCCATTTAATAACACTCCAAACAGGTATTTGGAACTACAAATACAGAACACAAGCTTTACAAGAGTATCAGTAACAGAGTATTTTTTATAAACACTAAGCTTGCCGCAAACCGTGAGGTTCAGTATTTCTTCATATATTAATGCCTCATTTAGATTAACCAATGAGTGCACCAAGATTTATTTCAATTAATTAATTCAGTTCATTACACCAATGCCCAGATACTTAATTGCTTCTGCTGCCAGCTGGAACTCCTCAGAGTTTAAGTTATTGCTTAGAAAGGGTAAACTTCGTTAGTCTTCTAAGCTCAGCTACTTGCATTGCTGAAGTATTCTTCACCACAGCAGAAGAGAGCAGCATTAGCTACTCCTGTCATAATTATTCAGATGAATATATTTCATCAAAGAACAGGCAGCAGGAGCTCCCGGAGGACAGTGAAGACAACAGGACCAACACTCACCTGCCACAGATGGCTATGCAGAAGGCTAACGCATAGATGAGGATCAAACATGAAGATCCCACCAACCCACCTCCCACCTTAGGAAGACACAAAATAAGTCTTTCCTATCTTGCGTCATATAACCACCGGGGGTTTCTATATATATATATCTTTTCAACCCTTGACATCTCCTCTACCTTTGTGTGGGCTTCCTTACCGCAGCACTGGCTTCTGATGCTGCTCAAGAGCATATCCTACAGAATCAATCTGAAATACACTGCTTTCAGGCTGCACATGACAGTCAGAAACCACCTGAGAAGTCCTGTCTTTCTTCATGCTAAGTAGTGGAATGGGTAAGTTCACATACAGGCATCACCATATCAATCTCTTCTAGCAAGGCTCACTATCATCAGAAGTATGAGAGATTTGTTTTGAAATAGAAAGTTTGGGATTTTTTTTAAGAACTGAGGAGAGATGCAGCGCTGCTCTCTCATATGGCAGTAGAGAAGAGCTGGCGCATTTAGACAAGGCTTTATGTAGATGACAAAAAAAAAGTTGGATATTCTTTCCCTTTTATTACTGCTCTTCTTCTAACACTGCATCATCTTCTACTCACCTAGCCCAAGAAGCATAAGATTTTCAACTGCTTCTTGATTCAGCCTATTACATCTATAATGACTTATCTGTAAAGAAAAATAATTATAAGACAACAAAAAGAGGGAGACATCCTTCATCTTAAAAGAAAACTTCACGGACAGCCTGCAGCAGAGCATCCCTTACTGCATTCCCTACTCAAAGGGCAACGAACTGTCTCCGCTTCATTAAGAGACCAGCCAAGGTTAAGCAGAACATTAGCAGGCACACGCTCCTCGCTAGAGTCATCTGCCATCACAGGGACAGTAATTCTTTGCGAAGCTAAGAGAGCCACACTTAGGACCTGCCGGACCTCTCAGACTAACTGCACAGCACAGCAGAGTTTCATAACACAACAAAAGCAGGGTTGCTTCACCAACCAAAGGTAAACAAGCATCATAAGGTCAGCCCTACGACAGCCCAACTGCACCAACAGAACTGGTTATGCAAAGCACCTCCCTAACCTGCTTCCCATTTAAATACCACTGCAACATTTAATAAATCAAAATTACTTATTACCAAGGGTAAATACTTAGATGCACATGGACATTTCTCTCTGTAGTCTATAAATTAGATTTTCAGTGACACTTGGCTTATTCGGTCCCTGCGCCCGGGCTACACATATTACATATTTACCTTCTGTAACTAATTCATTGTACTTACTGCTACTTACTGTAACAACTCAGGATGCAACTACCCGAATAACGCAGGATGTCATTACAAACATTCTGTATTCACCTATTCTTAAACTCAACTAATCACCCAATTTATATCTTATGAAAGACAAAAGAAATCTGCAGTTCCTCATCCCTCATTTATCTAAACACAATGTTAAAAAGCCTATTTGGAAGTCTGTTTAAAACTTCTACAGGTGTCAGTATGAATTATTTCCTACACCAAACATACCAGTTTTGTTCTTCCTCTTATTCAATGGCTGTATGCCAAGTAATTAATTAAATGAACATTGTAAGCCTTGATGTACTTCTATTTTACAGTTACCGATATTGTGGATTTATTTCATGGCTCGTATAGCAAAGGAATACTGCAAAGTCTGTACAATTCTCCGTAGCGTTTTACAGATTTATAAAAGACAAAGGAGACGGAGCAAGGAAAGACAAAACCAAATAGTAAGAGCAAGTCAAGCTCTCCAAATTGATTAGTACTGGGGAGATCATAGACCACACTACCCCAAAGAGGTTGCCCCTCTCCTTTATCTGATTTCTATCAGTGCTCTCGGCTGAGCAAGGTCAAGCCTGCCCACAGTGCCCAGGGGCCTCCAAGAAACAGCGAAGTACTCCAGGAGCCAAAAATCACTCCCCGAAGTCACCCCGTACCATCAGCAGCTCTTTGCTGCAGGAAGCACCTTCCCCCTGGATAAAAGGCAAAGCCAACAACTGACCATTTCGCTGTTTTTAAAAGCGGAGGTGAATCTGCTGCAAGAGGGAAATATTAACTCTGTGTCTTTAGGACAGTTTTACGTTGGACACGATGTCCTACCTACTTTAAAATCATGCTGAGGATGTTTTAAGTGGAAAAAAAAAAACCTGCTCACTCCCCTGCCTGAAAAGGGGTGTTATCCTGGCCATCCCCACAGACGGGTTAAGGTCCTGTGGATAAAGAGGCACTACAGAAGTGCAGATTATTAGCAAAATGCATCATAAGACAACACTGTGCTGGATCACGGTGTTCTTCCTCAGCCTGAGCAACTCCTTTTAGCAGATATCAAGGTTTGACAGCTCTAGGAACAGGCAGAACAATTACCATGGTCTTCCTCCAGTTGCATTAAAACTAGAGCCTTCTAGCCACAACACAGATGAGCAGAGCACCAGCAATAATAAATGACCTAAATATTGGAATGAAAATAAGATGGGTTTTCAGCGAAGACTTTATTTTCAGACGCTAATTGCAGCCATGAGCTCGACTGACACTGCTGGTGCCACGCTGCTCCCACATTTTGAAGGAAGAGAAGGGAGCCCTCGATTTATTTCAAATGTGGCACAGCCCAGGGTTCAGTGAGGGTCACCTCAGGCAAGCACAAATATCCCCTTTCTCCCCACAGTTACGGAAACAAGCTTTGAGCCTCATGGTCCATGAGTAGGTGTCCTCAGACTCCGGCTCTTTAAAACTACCTAAGTTCTGTGTGCAGCTACCTTACCACCAAAAGATGGACTGTCCCCTTCTGCTCCCCTGCTACGTTTTATATATCAAGCAGTCAGTAGAACAAAGAAAACCAGAGCAGCATCCCCTGGCCAAGCCTGCTGTGCCTTGGCAACCCTCCCAGAAGCTGAAAGCACAACATTTACACCCAGCTTGGTCGAGTCAACCGATTTCTCTTTGCACAACACCACAGACCCATTGTAGCATCATCACGCAGGGGGAAGCCAGGCAGCAAACCCCACCAAAGGCAAACAGCCCGTGTGAGGACAGCTACAGAGGAAAACTCTTCAGTCCAGAGCTTTTTCGCATCTCTGACTACTCACAGAAGCAAAGCAGTGCTACAGGGAGTCACCAACTGCCATTCCTTCCATGCAGCAGAAGCAGGACAAGCAATAACGCTTTACAAAGTCTCTTGCAGATCTTAAATCCATCTGCAGGCACTTACCACAGGACTAAAGCAGTATGCGGTCTCAGGCAAAAAATAAGAAGACAAACAAACAAACAAAATGTATTACCTTTGCCAAAGGAATCTGGCACTTGCCGTAGCTGCAGTCGCCCCTACGAAAGCTGCCACCATGAGCCTACGCCTGGTCCTGGGGTGATGTGCCATCCCATGGTAACGCCGTGAAACAGCAGACAGCCCTGCCGCAATGGGAAGAAATCGAAGGCGAAACATCCTGTGGAATAAGAACAACACATTAGTAAAGAAACAAATGATTTCCAGTTGTGGACTCTCGCGCTGACCCTCAACCAGAGATTTGCTAGCATTTTTTCTAAAATAGGAAAAGTTACAGAAAATAACTGTCACAGATGTTCATCAGCTGTTCCAAAATAGGCACATAATCTGTCTAATAAACAGCAAGTTACAATTATTACATGCTGGCATACACCTGATTGACACACCTTGCTGTTGCTTTGCAACTACTTACTCAGCTGCTCTTACAGCATTTTTCAAATTCCTCTTCAGTGTTTCCCCAGCACATTTCATTAAGAAGAAATATTTGTGCACCCCCACTCAAGTGCCAAAGCATGGAAGATGCAGGTAGATCTTCGAGCAACTACAGCAAATAAGAGCCATTTGGCCAGAGGGAAAGTCACAGCTGGATTTTAAAAGGCAAATTAAACCAAGTATCAAGCAAACCTACCAAACAAAACCCAACCCAGTCATTTTAAATTTCCCCAAAAAAACCCTACTGTTCTTAAATAACTTTTTTAGCTAGCCTGGCACCAAACATTTATATTGAACTTTAAGTATAAGGCAAGTTTCAAAGTGTCAAAACTCATAAAATACAATCCAGACCCTGTTACACACACAACAGTAGAGACAAATGGGAAACCAGAGGTACAAATCTCAGCTTTATTACAACGGAGAAATCTGAACCGCAAAAATGTCACCTCATCACACACACCAGCTACAGGAGACAATGCAATTTTTGCTAGCTCACTAGACTGAAGGTGAAGGGTAAATGTTGCCTTTGAAAAGGTGCTGCATCTTTTAGCGAAATAAAGGTTTTATTTCTAACTCATGCAAACTCAATTCTCTGATCGTGGGGTCAGCCTTAAAAAAAGAAATTGGGAGCAGAATGGAAAGAGAATTCCCAAGGTCAGCAAAAACATTGGAAGTGGAGAGCAGGGAAGCAGTAGCCCAATTTTTTCCTTTTGTTCCCCATTTTTGTTGCTCTATCCAAACATTCCCAGCCAGCAAATAACCACAGAATACAAAAATAAAGTAATACCTGCTGGTTTCTATGTGCTTTTGCAACACAAGATGCCAACGTGCCATTCTGCCGAACCATTAACTTCCAACAACGAGAATCTCGGGACCGTTTTGTGCAAACACATTTTACACGTGCGGTGCGTTACCCCACTTCAACTATAAAGAGCTGAATATATTACTGTCCTTTTCTGCTGATTAAAGCAACACGCAGCTCAGGATTTCATAATGTGAACCGGTGATGTGAACTTAGGGAAGGGAAGAGAGGAAGAGGGAGGGAAGACGCACATAAAATATTCAGCAGACAATTTTGAGTGCCAGAGCTCGATATCTTTTAATGCAAGAGGTGTCAGAGGTGCATCTGAAGACTTCACATCACAATCAAGAAATACGTGTCGAGGGGAAGGAAAACAAAGATGATGAGAAATCATTAGCAAATCCCTTATCGGTGAGTTTTTTGTATCAGACCTAAGCCTTTTGCACAGTGCTGGGACAAGGGAGATAGGATGAAGAACCAGCACGCTACGGCAGGCTGAGAGGAAGGCGGCAATATGACTCTTGACGGGTAGGGCAAAGCCACAGGGTGTCTATCCCTCACCACCTTGGTTTATGTGCAAATACCACAAATTCCGCTGCTCACAGCTAGCGCATCTGAAAAGCATCCATTTTATGTTCATCTGTGCACATATTCAAAAGCAAGTTTGCAGTCAGCATTACCATTTTGTTTATTCACTTAACAACAAATAGGCTTTTAAATAAAAGTTTTAATGGAATACAGCCAGCCAACAGCGCTTATTCTCCAACCTTCTCCAGCTTTGAACAATAGAAGAATTTGTTATGAAAAACAGTTCTTATTTCAAATTTAAAATTATTTCCATCCACACAAACCTGATGTTCCCATTTCATCTCCAGGGACGAATTTGTTACATATGCAGAGAAAAATCTGCAAGCGTTATTTTCACCAAGAAGCTACTGTTGCCCTTACTTGAGCTCCCTGTCCTAATTACAGCTTTATATGCATAAAATGTAATGGATAAGGGAAGTGTTGCCAGCATCATTTAATCAGTCAAAATGAAAATCAAGCCCCACAGTGCTTACTTTTGAGCTTGAAGAGATTTTTACAGCATTTCGGATTGTTGGCTTTAGTACTGCATAAATGTTTGCTCTGTCTGAGCCCTAAGAAACACTAAATTAGCTGCTTTGTCCAAGTAAGTTCCATCCCTGATGGTGCTGGGGACGGTTCACCTAGACAGCGTTCACTTGGTAGCAACTGCCCAAGAGAGCTGAAAGCAAGCTGTTCCCATAATAGCCCTAAAATAAAGAGTATCCTTATCTCAGAACAAAAACAAACAAACAAACAGCACTTTGGAAGCTGAATTTTCCATGCTTTCCATCTGCAATTTTACCATCTCTCAAATTTTTTTATTTTTTTTTTAAATCAAAAGTGCCATGGTACTTGGTATGTTTTGTTAAAAGCTCCAGGCATTTGAGTCAAGATCACTTGAGAAAGCTGGTGCTCACTTATAAAAAGATTAAAAATAAGCATCTTGCCCTAACTGCAGCACTGAAAAGCTTAACACCATGATCTGCAGTAGGATAAGGAATCAAACCAAGATAAAGTATAAAACTCCCAAGAACTGATGTGATTACAACTTACAATAAGAAACCATCTCCATTCTTGCATGATTTAATACAATAAGTGATTTTTTTTTTTTTACAGGATACAATAAAGTAGCTCAGAGAAAAAAATTAACTCCACAATACTGAAAATAAGGATCAAACATAAAAGTTATCATGATGTTCCAGCACTACTGCTACAAGGAATCTGTAGATTGTAGTTTTGTTTCTAACAGATAAGCCAGTCCTAAGTTCTTGCTCAGAACAGCTCTACAGTTACTTTCAGAGGTTGAATTAATATCCTTGGACAAAAGCAATAGTTGGGGCTTTTTTCCAGAAAAGAATGACATATCTGCTTTTATTTATGCCACAAGACATTTGGTGGGGTTTTTTGTTGGTTTGTTTTGGTTTTTTTTTAAGCAGGAGAGTCAACCAACAGACTTGAAGATTTAAAACCAGAAGTTTTGTTGACTGTGTGCTCCACCACTAAATATGAGTCGCTCCACCAAAGCCCAATCCTCAGAGCCCAAACATTCAAAAAAACTAAAAAACCCAACGACAAAAAAAAGAAATAATCCACCTCACCCCATACAAGATGCAACAGCCCATCCTGGTACCTGGCGCTCTCTGTCCACTTTGGCAGCAGGCTCTTGTGCCCCGGTTCCATGATTTAAGCTGTGTTTCTGCCCTGGCTGCTGCAGGAGCTCTCATGGTCATAAGTGCTCAGTGCCCTGCTCTATGGGTACAAGCAGCTGGCAAGATGGAACAGGTTAAAGCCTCGTTTATTTGTAATTTAGCATTAAACATGTTAGCGTCTTTGACATCCAGGAAACCCACAAACCCATTAGGAAAGTACCGCTTCCGATCCGAGACACGACGGGCATCATTCAAACTGAGGACATCCAGATGGCTTCAAAAGAAGAAATGCAAAATTATTTCAACAGCTATATACATTCTGGCTTGATGTGGATATTTTATTTCCCCAAACAATGATCCTCTGTCCGCTAACCTGTTTTGCAAGGAAATTCAGACAGGCTCTCCGCTTCTCCTCCCAGCCATGTTCAGAGCATCAGCAGTCCAGCCCTGGATTTTTTCCATGCACATAAGTAGTGGCAGATTCTAACTCTCTTATATCCTTTTTCAGATACCAAAAGAACAGAACAAAAAGACTTGCTTATGTTTTTCCAGCACCTTAAGTAGCTGACGGTTTCAAGACTGTGAGCAGTAAGTAGCCCAGCATGGGGAAAAGGGACTTCTTCACACTTGGGTACCCCACAGCACCAAATTTTTTGTAGTCCTTTTTCGCAATTCAGAACAGCCTCAGGTTTTAAGATGAAAGACACTTAAAGTAGCTTTCTGCTGTCGAAGCTAGCCTCAGTGGCACAAGCACGCAAGAGAGAGAACAGTAACTGAATAAGCTGATGGGTATTTAATTTTTAATCAGAGAAGCGTTCACAGGCACTTTTTACTTGAACAATTTTACTAGGACACAGTAAGCTTGCACATTAGTTTGGAATGTCAATTGTAAATTTAAATGAAAAATATTGTTCTGCAGTAAGATCTTCTCAAAAAAGATTTGCATTTACGAGGCATTGCTTAGGCATAAAGACTTCTGCAGGGACTGGCTGAGATGGAGTCACTAAGAACTGAAAGAGCTTTCTGGAGCCATATGTTTATGAAAAACCAAAGTTTGACGTTGCCGGCGCACACCAAGACATCCTGACCCAGCAGCCGCTGTAGGAAAATCCTTTACCTATTTCAATCTCAGGCCCTGATCGTCAGTTATACCTCACCCCTGCTCACTGAAGCCAGCGACATCGGCTCCAGAAGGCATGGGGTGCCCTGAAGCAGACATCCAGCAGCAGAAGAGTGCGGGTTTCAGCTCCCAGCTCTCCTGTCTCTGTCTTCTCAAGAGAATTATTGGGAAGAGGGGAAGGAAAAATTGCCATGGGGAAAGAAGTACAACAAATAAATCCAATGGGAAGGAAAAATCAAGACACAAGGGAAAGGGCAAAGCAATTGGGAGAGAAGTTTTGCCATCAACGCTAATATAGAGGTACTTAAAATAAACTGAGATACACAAACCAGGGGAAAAAAAACACCTCTTAGCATCAAACCTGCCTTCACCAAAATTAAGTTATTTTTGACTCCTCCTCCCCCCAGTTCTCCATACTTCCCATTTACAAACTGGTATCAGCGAGAGAGACTTGTACAAGTGCAATTCAATCAAAGGGTGCCAGCTACCGAGATGTCTAGATCCACTCCTTCCCCCATCCCCAAGAGAGACCAGACCGCTCCTGCTCTTTTCCCCTCCTCTAACTCCAAATGTTCACATTACCCAGTCC